TGCAGTGTTATGTGCTGGGTGGTGTCTGAGCTCCTTGCAGGCAGCACCCACCCCACACCCACCCACCTGGCCCACCACAGGGCCGGGCACAGCACAGGGCACAGCTAGGAGCTCTGGTTTCGGCCCCAACTGACCTGGCAGTGACCCATATTCCTGACCTCATGCCACCCCCGCCACCTCTCTCATTAGTTGCCCACCTGGGATGATCTGCCCAGAGCCTGGCAATCAGCACAGCTGCTGCTGCTGCACGAATTTCAGATCATTACATCACTCGCCTAACGAGACCACCAAGAGCGAGAACCTGGGCAGTGGGCTGGAGCACCCTGGGCCCTCGTCCTGACTGTCACCAGCTCATTTGTGTCCTCGGCTATCACAGAGGGAGGAGGCCAGGCCTCCTGTGGGACTTGGGGCATGGATGGAACCCCAGGACTCCCTGACATCTGAACATGCGCAGGGCGCAGGGGTGCCATGTGCCACGGAGCCTGGACGTTGTTCTCCGGCCAGTCACAGGCTACTTCCACACCTTGATGTTCCCAGACCCTGCCCGGGGAGTACAGCAAGGTCCCTGGGGGCCCCCACCCAAACCAGCCTGCCAAGAACTCTGGAGGAGAGTCACACAGGGCCCAGGCACTGGGCTGCTGTTCTTTTTGCCCGGGGCACCCTCTCGCCAAAGAAATGCAGGCCCAGAGGACTGTCCCCTAGGGAACCAGTGTTCGTGAAGCTTGGCCCCCACACTCAACCAATGATGCCTGAGTCCCCACCCAAACCTGAGGGTGCAAGAGCCCTAGAACCGGGGAGCTGCTTCGGCTTCTGGCCGTAGGGTCGGTGTGCCGGGCAAGTACCGTGCTGATGACCACGGAGGGGACGCTGAGCCTTGTGGTGGTGGGCTCCTGGTGTCCCTGGTGACTCGAGGCTGACAGGGGACGAGACACAAGGGAGCTCCTGACCATCCCCCAGGGCTTCCATCTTCCCCAAGGCCTGATGAAGGTGTGCACACCTGGGACCTGGGGAAATGAAAACCATGGNAAGCCCGGGGCCTTCCCAGGGCCGCTTTGCACATGCGCAGGAATAATGGACAGGAGGCGCCTTCCACGGAGGCCTGCTGGTCTTAGGCACCACCGCTAAGTGCCCACACGAGAAGGCAAACAGCAGTCTGGGGCTTGCTGCATGGAGAACCACCACGCGCACTCCCAGATCCACGAGGGGACCGCGTTACCATGGTCTGGGACTCTAGGTCTCTGCATCTGAAAACATCCACCTTGGGGCGCCGGACCACGCCCTGGCTGTGGCTCCAGGTAAGTCATGAGACCTCCAGGCCTCAGTTCGGGGAGCTCGGAGACTAAACGGGGCTCTGTTACCCCCACCCCGTCACTCCTCTCCAAAACAGGCCCTCAGGGACGGGAAGCAGCCCCACGGCCTTGCCCAGACGGGAACAGCTCATTTCCATCAAGGAAAAAGAATTTATTCGGGACACTCGGCACGCGGTGCCGGCTGTGCCAACCCGGAAGGGTGAGGGGGCCGGGGCCTGCCCTCCGCAACCCCGACCGGCCGGTCCCGGCCTGGGCCTACGCGCCCTGCTGGTTCCACCGCAGCCCCTGCACCTCTTACTCCCGGTAGTGGACACGCTGGTGCTGGATGAGCTGCGAGCTCTGGCCAAAGGCCTTGCCACAGGTGCTGCAGGCAAAGGGCTTCTCGCCCGTGTGCGTCCGCAGGTGCCGGAAGAAGTGGGAGCGGCCGCGGAAGGCCTTGCCGCAGTCGGCGCACTCGTACGGCTTCTCGCCCGTGTGGATGCGCTGGTGCTCGATGAGCACGGAGCTCCAGATGAAGGCCTTGCCGCACTGGCTGCAGGCGTACGGCTTCTCGCCCGTGTGCAGCCGCTGGTGCCGCACCAGGTTGGAGCTCTGGCTGAAGGCCTGGCCGCACTCGCCGCACTTGTACGGC